GTCCGTGGGCTGTGGATGGTGCCGGCGGCCACGCTGCTCCGACGCTTGGCCATGCTGTTGTTTTGTTGGCCGTGGCTCCAATTTGACAGGGCAGGCAGCAGCGCCGCCGGCACCTGATTTTTAAATTGTGTCTCTAACAAGGTTTTTTTAACCAGACTTACCCTTTCCAAAGCTAGTTCTCACCTGGTGGTAAGAAGGGTGTTTGCGGATTTTTGGTGGGAACTAAATGTCCCACCAAGCCTTCTGAAGCAGCGCTAGGTTTGGGGTCTCTGCTGAAATGAGGCTGGTTGTGGATAGTGGGGGCCAGGCAGAGGGAGTTTCTCAGCCCCACCATAGAAACATCTGGCCTGCATTAATCCTCAGGAGGAGTCCTGGAGCAGCAGCTAGGAAAAAACCCAATAATAATAATAATAATAGTAATGGTGCTGCCACACTATGAGTGGGCACGCTGAAGGCTGAGCAGCCGATGCTGCCACCTGCTGCTGTGTGACACCACTGTCCCCTTCAACACTGCCCCAGCCAGAGGTGCCCAAAGTCCTGTTAGCTGGGGATACGCACCCCTGAGGGCTGGCCTGGCATGGGGACGTCCTTGTCACCTGGCTTTCAGCATGCCCCGGGGAACGATGCTGCTCTCCTGTCCCTCCCTGCCACGCTGCGGCTCCAGGTGACCCCTAGGCTGGCTTCCGCCTCCTGCCTTTTCTTTCATCTCATCCCCATCGCACCATCGTCACCTTCACCTTTTGTTTTCTAACTTTTTTTTCCCTAACAGATAAAAGAGTTCTAAGCGAACCCAAAAGCCACCGTAAGTGCTCATTTCATGGCCATTTTGTTTATTTGTGAGGCATTGCTTTGGTTTTGTTCTGTCGCATCCATGGTAGGGCTCCTCAGCAGCTGGGGCAGGACTGGGTGGGAACAGGGAGCAACTAAAGCCTGCTCCAAAACTCCTGTGTACATTAAACCACATGCTCTGCTTGAAGCTATAAATGTGACCCACTTTTGCACCCCTGCTCCCACTCCCGTTCTGCTGCCTGCAGTTCTGGGGTGCACCACGATGCAGCCAGTGTCACACCAACAACGCTACTGCAGGCATCGTCACCCCACTACAGGGACTTCTTTCCTCGAATTTGGGGTCCCGGGGGCACCTCAGGGTTCCTGTTTCTGGTATCTAGAGCAGGGGGACTTGGGGGCACGGTGACATCTCCCAGAAGAGGCATAGTCCTAGCGTGGTTAAGATAGCCAGACTTAGGACAGGGTTTCACTCCAGCATGAAACCAAGAGATGCAGGTGAATGTGGAGGGAGGAAGGAGAGAAGGATGGGCTGAGAGTGCTCAGCTCCTGATGCTGGAGGCTTTCTCTGCCCTCTTCATCCCTCTCCTTTCTGGGCAGATATATCCAAGATACACCAGGTGTTTAAAAATCGAAAGCCTTGTGGCAGGGAAGCTGGGGAAGCTGCGGGGTGTCTGTATACATATAGTGACACTCGATCTTTACAGATGGGTGCATAGTTCAGGTACATTTACATGAGATGTATGGGCAGGCGTTATGTTCACTCCCCAGGGCCGTCTCTGTTAGGATGTGAGGGTTGATAGCTTCATGAATCTGAGCTGCGCAGACCTAATGTTTCTGGGCTTCTTGGTGCTCAAGTAAAGTTTGCACAAGCTGTGGCAAAGTGCCCTCCAAAAGTTTGAGGGCTTCACTCCCATCTCATTCTCTGGCATTGCTCTGACTTCTGGACCGCTCTTAGAAAACACCCTCCATCCTCCTGCCACAGCCTTTCCAGCAGGCCCAGTACACATCTTCCCCTTTGTGCCTATGTCCTGAGTTAGTCATAGGGTTGGGGAGCGCTGGTGGGTCTTGATACGAGTTTCTGGTGCTCCTTTTTTCACCTCCATTTCTTTAATCCCTCCCAGTGCTGGAGGCCACAGGTGATGTGGCTCTGTACGCCGGGCTGGTGGTGGCCATTTTTGTCTTCATTGTGATCCTCATGGCTGTGGGGGTGGTGGTGTACCGGAGGAGACGCCGGGATTTTGACACGGACATCACAGACTCATCAGCCGCTCTGACCGGAGGCTTCCACCCTGTCAACTTCAAGACATCCCGGCATGGTAAGAGCTATAGCCCATGCAGGTCCTGCTTGCCAGCCCAAGCCCAGGCAGAGAGATACTTTCACAGGCATCTCTTCCAGTCAGGCAGTGCTTTTACGTCCCCTTGTTTCCACTGCTGTCTTCAACCCATCCATGTTTCCTCCTACTGCAGACAACCCTCAGCTGCTGCACCCCTCGATGCAGCCGGACCTGACGGCCAGCGCGGGGGTATACCGTGGCCCCATGTATGCCCTGCAGGACTCATCCGACAAGATCCCCATGACCAACTCCCCTCTACTCGACCCTCTCCCCAGTCTCAAGATCAAGGTGTACAACTCCTCCACCGCCTCCTCCTCACCGGGGCTCCACGATGGGACAGACCTGCTCGGGGGAGTCCCCACCACTGGCACCTACTCAGGGGACAATGCCAGGGATGGCCTCTTTGCAAACGCGCGGAGCAAAGCTCTGGGCTCCCAGCATCTCCTCAATTTGCCCCGGGAGCACGGCAACAGTGCCAGCGGCACCTTTGGCTACCTGGGGGGAAGGCTCACGATCCCAGGCACCGGTAAGGCCCGGGCTCGGGAGGAGGGCATGTTTAGCTGCTGAGTGATGCAGAAGTTGTTCTTGTTGTGGCAGACTTGTCTGCTTTGAACAACCCTTTGCTGTCCCAAAGCTGGCTTAGGGGAGGAAGGCAGCAAGCCATTCCCAAGCCAGGTTTCTCAGGGTAGAGGTCACAGCCTCCCAGAACTTTCCTGATCAGCCCTGCCATCAATACAGGGCCAGTGCCCTGCAAAAAGATCCAGCCTGTGGTTTTGCTTCCTAATGCAGTGGCCTGGCTCCTCCCTGCAAGCAGTGCAGCTGAGGAACATCCGCAGATTTTTCTCCTGGGGTGTTCCGGGCTGACCTAGCTCACTGCTGTCCTTGTGCTTGCCGGCTGGGGTGGAGGGCTGGTTTCTCCTTCGTGATTTCTCCCTTGTTTTGTGACTAACACCTGCGTGTGCCATGCTAGGGGTGAGCCTGCTGGTGCCCCATGGGGCCATCCCCCAAGGGAAGTTCTACGAGATGTACCTGGTCCTCAACAAGGCAGAGAGTGCCCTGTAAGTCACACCGCACCACCCACGCTTCTGCTCTTTGTTGGCCGCTATGAGGCTTTCTTTCCAACCGGTGTCCCTTCTCCCCTCCCCAGCCTGCCCTCCGAAGGCACGCAGACAGTGCTGAGCCCGGTGGTGACCTGCGGACCCACCGGCTTGCTCCTGTGCCGCCCCGTCATCCTGACCATTCCCCACTGCGCAGATGTTGGCTCCTCAGATTGGATTTACCAACTGAAAACACAGTCCCACCAGGGAAACTGGGAGGTAAGGTGGGAACCAAGCCCTTGCAGCCAGAGAAGACCATGAGTGTTGTGGGGCACAGCCCCTAGCAGACCTCCCTGGATGATGGGCTGACCCCCAACCTTGATTCCCCGTAGGAAGTTGTGACGCTGGATGAGGAGACCCTCAACACTCCCTGCTACTGCCAGCTGGAAGCCAAGTCCTGCCACATTTTGCTAGACCAGCTTGGCACCTACGTCTTCGTGGGAGAGTCCTACTCCAGGTCAGCCATCAAGAGGCTCCAGCTGGCAATCTTTGCCCCCACCGTTTGTACCTCCCTGGAGTACAGCCTCAAGGTCTACTGCTTGGAGGACACGCCAGATGCTCTGAAGGTAACGTCACCTTGTGACACTGGTCGGGCTGCCCTTGCTTCCCAAAGCTGTTCGCACTGGCAGCAAGATGCTGCCTCGTGCCTCTCAGGATGGCCTGGCCCCAGGGAGCAGACAGCCTGATGCAACTGCCTGCAAAGTGACCACAGTGAAATAACAACCATGTTTACTGCTTTCCTCATCCTTCCTCACCCTCTCCGAAGGAAATGATGAGGGTGTTACGCAGCTCCTGTACTGGGCCCCCTTTCTACACAAGAGGTTTTGCCGCTGCTGGGTGGGTTTTCCCTCTCCTATGCAAAAAACACTCGCTGCTGCGATTTGCCTCGGTTTTCTGTAGGTCCTGTTATTCCTGCGTGGAGATGTGTCTGTCCCCTCCTTGGGAGAGTTTGTGGCATTGATAGCATGGAGTGCAGCGTGAGGAGCTCTAGTTTTGATGCTTTGGCTGCCTGGACCACGGGTGTGGTGACTGTTTGGTTCCCTGTGACTTGTCCTGTGGCGTTAGAATTGCTGCAGTGCCTCTAGGTGGAGGTGTAGGCAGCGCTTGGGCTCCTTGGTTGCTTTTTTCTTGGAAGAGCTGCTACTGCAATAGTGGGATGGTGTTAAAAACAGATAGGGTGGCACTCTCCAAGACCACTGACCTTTGAGTTGGACCTTTGCGTTGTCTGAGGAGTACAGAGGTGTATACGGATGCTCACGTTACAAAATTCACGTTGTAGGTGGGGCTGCTGTGTGAAGTGAGTTGGCAAGTTCTTGGAGAGCAGCTGTCAGGGTGGTAAAGGCTGCTCTCCTGGGGAGGACTTCCTGCGGGCTTGTTGCTGCTGCTGGCTCTTCTTGGTGGGAGCATGCCTGGCTTTGGACATGGAGAAGTGATAGGAGCAGCCCCTGCTCATCTGCTGGGTCTCACACTGACTGTCCCACTGCCTGCAGGAGGTGCTGGACCTGGAGCGGACACTGGGTGGGTACCTGCTGGAGGAGCCCAAGCCCCTGCCCTTCAAGGACAGCTACCACAACCTGCGTCTCTCCATCCACGACATCCCCCATGCACTGTGGAGGAGCAAGCTCCTGGCCAAGTACCAGGTGAGGGGCCGAGGCGGGGGCGGCTGGGGTCCCAGACCAGGGGCACCATCTTCAGCCAGGCATCACCAGGTTGTGAGTATCCTGGTCTTGTCTCCAAGAGTGTCCCAAAGGGATGGAGGAGGAAGGGGGGCTGTTTTTCACATGGTCTTTCCTGGTGAGATGCTGTCTGTGCGGTCCTTCTGTCCCATCTCATCCCTGTGGGGTGGCTGAGGGAGGTGGGATCTCCCAAGATTGCTGCTGGAGCCTTTGCTAAGCCCATGCTTTGGTCTGCAGGAAATCCCGTTCTACCACATCTGGAGTGGCAGGGGGCGAGCCCTGCACTGCACCTTTACACTGGAGAGGTACAGCCAGGCCTCCACTGAGCTCACCTGCAAGATCTGTGTCCGGCAGGTGGAAGGGGAAGGGCAGATCTTCCAGCTCCACATCACGCTGGGAGAGGTGAGTGGTGGGGAGGTGGGGCGACAGCAAGGGGATGGTGCTCTGGAGCCGCTCTGTGCTGCAACATCTCGCCCCACCCTTCCCCTTGCAGCACGCCAGCTCCTTCGACACCCTCCGCTCCCACCACAGCGGTGCCACCACCACCACCCAGCTGGGACCCTATGCCTTCAAAATCCCCCTTTCCATCCGGCAGAAGATCTGCAACAGCCTGGATGCCCCCAACTCCAGGGGAAATGACTGGAGACTTCTCGCCCAGAAGCTTTCGATGGACCGGTGGGTCTCCCCGTGCTTTGCTTTACCCTCCTGAGCCCTGGGCAGGGGAGCTTTGCTCCGCTCCCTCCCTGCTGCAGTGCATCCAGCTGGGCTATGTCTGTATATATAGGTCTACCCATAAATACGAATATAGCTATGCATAGTTGCACCCAACTATATCGATGCATCATTCTGTGCCATGGTCCTGGGTCTCTTGTCACTTTGAACTGGCCCTTATTTATCTGGGTCCATGCTTGGGCTGTTCCTGTCTGGGTTCACCTCTGAGGACCAAAGGGAGGGTAATTTCAGCAAAACAAAGCCTGCATTGCTTTTGCATCAATGCCAGCTCTGTATAAAAATTGAAGACAATATCTCAAGGGCTTTGGCATTTGCGTTGTGGCATTTCCATCAGGGTTCATGTTGCAAACAGGTTTGCTGCTCCGGCATTCTCCCTCCTTCCATCCCCGAAGGGTGCCACGCCAACCTGGACCTCCTCTCTGCTTCCCCTTCGCAGGTATCTGAACTATTTTGCCACCAAAGCCAGCCCCACCGGGGTGCTCCTGGACTTATGGGAAGCCGAGCACCAAGACGACGGCGATCTCAACACCCTGGCCAGTGCCTTAGAAGAAATGGGCAAGAGCGAGATGCTGGTGGTCATGGCCACAGAGGGGGATTGCTGATGATGCTCCCCACGGCTGGCCGGCCGGAAGGACGAAACGGGGGGCGAGGGGGAGAACCCTTCCCCCGACAGTGGGGGGAGGCATGTCCATCCCCGGGCAGGGGCTGAGCGAGGAAGGGCTGAGGCCTTCGTTTCTCCTTCCCTCCCCGCATCACTGTCAGCCTTAGAGACCCATCCTCAGCGTTTAAAAGCAATTCAAGTGTTCCACAGCATTCCTTTTCCTCCTCCTCCTCTTCCTGGCCATCCCTGGGGCGGCAGCCGGCAGCGTTCGTGGCATGGGGAGGAATTAGGGCTTCTCCAGTCGGGACAGGGGCTTTCCTTCTTCTTCATTTGGATTCCCCTCTGGTTCTCCTCCTTCTTTAATAGCATTTCTGCGTTGGAGAGATGAGTACAATCTAGCTGAGCAGCTTACTCAGACAGTTTAATAAGGCAAATAAGAAAGAAAAAAGGAAAAAAAAAAGTTTCTTAGGAAACGCAAATAATTTATTATCCAGATCTTTGGATGAGTCCTTTTTTAAGAAAAAAAAAAAAAAGAAAAAAAAAAGAAACAAATTTATAAATCTTTTTTTGTGCGTGAGAGCAAGAGCGTTGCTGTGGTCAGGGTGGCAGAGAGAGATTTCACTGAACAAACTTTTG